GCTCAGCAGTTGCTCGAGTTAAGGCTTCAAAAACCTAACGAAACTGTGGCAATGTTTGCTGAGGACGTGACGCGCCTATGTCGTCGGGCTGATCCCAATATGTCCGAGGAGAAGAAGTTGCGTTACCTTATGCGCGGCGTGAAAGAACAACTGTTCGCTCGACGTGTGCGCAATGCCCCAACTACCGTGGCCGATTTTATAAAAGAAGCCACTGCCATTGAGCGTGCTCTGCACCAAAGATCGAGGCAATATGATCGCTCGTCCACTACCACCCCAATCAACGCCGGTTCAGTGACTCTGGACAATCGGGGCTCCCTACGTGACCTGATCAGAGATATTGTCCGAGAAGAAATTCAGAAGCTTTGGACTCCTCCAGTGGATACACCAGTGACCGCCGTTGCCGCAGTCGTTCGTGACGAGCTTAGGCACGCTTTTTCAGCAGCTGATCTCAGTCGCGATCAGCGTCAACTGAGTTACGCCGACGCTCTCCGCTGTCAACCACCCGTCCCGCCTATTACACCATATTACCAGCCACCTACAGCCGCACTTTCGTCGCAACCATTGCAGGAGGCTTTCAGACATCGGCCCATGTCTCCAATGTCTCCATGCCACCAGTCACCACTTGCCGCGCCTTACTCATCACCACGAGAGGACATAAGACGCCCACAATTTCGCAGAACGGACGCTCGGCGCACCGTCGATCGGCGCCCTCTCTGCTTCTACTGTGGTGGTGCCGGCCATGTAGCTCGCTATTGTTGGTACCGCGACACATCGCTTCGCCCGTCTCGGCCAGGGTACGACGGTCGCCGTGCCAACGACAACTACATTGTTCGCCATGACGACCCTGGTTTTCGAGGACCTTCAACAACGTGGTCTCCCTATCACGAGTCGCTTCCTAATCGCCAGCCCAATTCCGCCTTCAGGTCACACTCTCCATCCCCTGCTCAGACATCGTCACCAAATCGACGTACTTTTGCTGACCTTTGGGGAACAAGGTCGCCCAGCCCTTACCGGGGAAACTAAAGGCGGCGACCTCTCGGGGTGAGGTCGCAGCCTGACCACAAGACGATAAAAAGTCCCCAGTACTGCCGCTACAGAACGACTCGACGCCGACGAATATTAACAACGACGAAATGGTGAGCGCCGACCTCAATGTAATTATTGATGGAGAGCAAGTAACAGCCTTAGTCGATACGGGTGCTGATTTTTCCATAATAAGTCACAAGCTGGCTGATCATCTTAGAAAAGTAAAAACGCCATGGGCAGGACCACATATAAGAACAGCGGGTGGTCAATTGCTGCTCCCTACTGAAAGATGCACACCAAGAATCAGCATAGGAGATTCTTCTTTCGTCGCGACTTTTATTGTTCTCCCAGAGTGCTGCAAAGATTTAATTATAGGAATAGACTTGCTCAGGGAGCATGGCGCAATAATCAACATCCCGGACCGCGTGTTTTCATTTTACGAGAGTGCTCGTCTGACTGATCCTACATCACCAGAGCACAAATCCTTTTGTCTCAAAGACCACAGTATAGTCGTGCCGCCTCGATCATGTATCCTCGTTTCAGTAGCATGTGACGTACTACTGTTCGATGGTGAAGGAGTCGCCGACCAACTAACCTCGCTGCTTTTCACACACGGGATTTCCGTAGCACGAGGGATAGTTAATGTCACCGACAGCTGAACAAACTTGCTGTTGAGCAATTTCACCTCCGAGCGATGGCACCTTCCGAAAAGCACAACATTGGCACATTTCGACGAGATAGCAGATGTTTGTGACTGCTTTTCAGCACTCGAAGCAACACCTGCACAAGATTCACATGACCTAGCACCTAACCTTGACGTCAGCCCTACTTTAACTCAGCAACAGCGGGAACGCCTGCTTGTGCTACTAGACGAGTTCCGCGACTGTTTTGCGTCGACCTCGAAAGTTGGCCGGACGTCCTTGACCAAGCACCAAATCATCACAGAGGACACGGCTAGACCAATCCATCAAAATCCGTACCGTGTGGCTTCAAAAGAACGAGAAGCGATAGAAGAGCAGGTAACAAAAATGCTTGAAGATGACGTCATTCAGCCGTCGAAAATCCCCTGGGCATCACCTGTTGTTCTAGTGAAGAAGAAGGACGGCAGCCTGTGTTTCTGTGTGGACTATCAAAAGGTAAATCAGGTTACAAAAAAAGACGTGTACCCGCTTCCCCGCATAGATGATTCGATTGACAGGCTTCGAAACGCACGTTACTTCTCTTTCATGGACTTAAAGAGCGGATATTGGCAAATTGAAGTAGACACCAGGGATCGTGAAAAAACCGCTTTCATGACGCCAGATGGAATGTACGAATTTAAGGTTTTACCATTTGGCTTGTGCTCTGCGCCTGCTACTTTCCAGCGTCTCATGGATACCGTTCTCTCTGGGCTTAAATGGAGAAGCTGCCTAGTATACCTTGACGACGTCATTGTGTTTTCTACGTTTGACGAACACCTTGAACGATTGCAAATGGTCTTGCAGGCCATACGGGCCGCAGGCCTGATGCTTAAGCTGGAGAAATGTCACTTCTGCTTTGAGGAACTGCAGTTTCTTGGCCATGTCGTCAGTTACGCAGGAGTTCGTCCAGACCCCGAAAATGTTGCCGCCGTTGCACAGTTTCCAACACCATCAGATAAAAAGGCAGTGGGGCGTTTTCTGGGGGTCTGTGCATATTATTGGCGGTTTATTCCAGATTTTGCGCGCATTGCGTCAACCTTTAACTTGTATCACGAGGGATGACGTTGCATTTGTTTGGGGCAACAAACATGAAGCTGCTTTCAATGACTTGCGGCAGCGTCTACAGACGACCCCCGTGCTTGCCCATTTTGATGAGACAGCCCCTACAGTGCTCCATAGTGACGCCAGCAATGTTGGCCTCGGAGCTGTGCTTGTGCAGCGCCAGGACGACGATGAAAGAGTGATCGCTTACGCAAGGAGAACTCTGTCACGCACAGAAGCAAATTACTCGACCACTGAAAAGGAATGCCTCGCCGTGGTGTGGGCAGTTTGGAAATTTCGCCCATACTTGTACGGCCGCCCATTCAAGGTTATCGGTGGCCACCATTCGTTGTGTTGGTTAACAAGTCTGAAATATCCTTCCGGGCGATTGGCACGCTGGAGCCTTAGACTATGGGAGTTTGATATAACAATGGTGTGTAAGTCGGGAAAACGACACACGGATGCCGACTGCCTATCTCGATCGCCAATAGATTCGGCTGCTGCTTTTGATGAAGAGACAGCATTCCTCGGAATCCTCGACACGTCAACCATTGCAGATCACCAACATGACGATCCTGAGCTACTTGGCTTGATTAATTATTTAAAAGGACGAAGCCAGAATCCACCCAAAGCCTTTACAAGAGGACTATCGTCGTTCTGTCTGCGAAACAATGTCCTTTACAAAATGAACTTCTCGTCAGACGGGTCCACCTACCTGCTTGTCGTCCCTACCACTCTTCATTCTTAGGTGTTGCAAGCGTGCCACAACGAGGTAACATCTTGACATTTAGGCTACACGCGCACACTGAGCAGAGTTCGAGGGAGATATTACTGGCCTAGACTCACCGCTGCCGTGAAGCATCATGTTCGAATCTGCCTCGATTGCCAGCGGCGCAAGTCACTTCCAACGAAACGAGCCGGTTTGCTACACCCTGTCCAGATCCCGACAACGCCATTTGATCAGATTGGAATGGACCTTTTGGGCCCACTTCCCACCTCTAGTGTTGGTAACCGCTGGATTATAGTGGCGACCGACTACCTTACTCGCTACGTCGAGACAAAAGCCATCCAGAGAGGCACAGCAGAGGAGGTGGCCCGGTTCTTCATAGAGAACATTGCAGCTGAGACACGGTGCGCCACCAGATCGTGGAACCACATTCACGGCCACGCTTTTAGATCATGTGTTGGCGCTCAGCGGTACTATTCATCGCAAGTCAACAGCTTACCATCCACAAACCAACGGGTTGACCGAGCGACTTAACAAAACTCTGGAAGACATGCTTTCAATGTATGTGGACATCGAACACAAAAACTCGGACAAGATTCTCCCTTACATAACGTTCGCATACAATACTGTGAAACAAGAAACTACACGGATGACCCCATTCAGCCTTGTTCACAGACGAGAAGTAAGAACGATGTTGGACGCGATGCATCCACACGGATGCGATGACAACGAAACGAGGGCTGAGGCATTCACTCCACGTGCAGAGGAAACCAGGCTGCTCGCATGTCTGCGAATATACCAACAGCAAGAGTATGACGCAGGCCGCTATAACCTACGTCATACACCTGTAACGTACGAAACCGGGGACAGGGTATGGGTGTTGACGCCTGTACGAAGACGGGGACTATCCGAAAAGTTGCTCAGAAGGTACTTTGAACCTTATCGAGTGCTGCGACGACTAAGTGACGTTATCTATGAAGTCGTCCCGGATAGCCCAAACTGTTCAAGGCGTCGCCAGCACCGACCTGAGCTTGTGCACGTAGTGCGCATTAAGCCATACGTCAGCGAGTGACTTTGCGAGGCACCGTCGCTTCTACAAAGTGACTTCATGCGCGAATCACTGGCTCGAGCTATAGCATCAAGCGATGCTCTTTTAAGGGGAAGCAAATGCCGCGCCCGAAACAAAGGACGAAGACGATGTGCGCGCCAGCAGCCTCGTGAAAAGGGGGACTGAAAAAGAGGACGTGCTTTCGTTTGGCTCACCTGCTCTTGGCTCCTGCATAAAAACACACGCCGTCGGTTCTCGGACTCAACGTCTCGGTGCACTGCTTACGTTGAACCGCGACAATATATATATATAGTGACTGATATGCGAAAAATAAACTAGTTGATATCCAGTTTTCTTATGTTTTTCTTCCTTGATCCTAGTTGATGCCACATTTTGTTAAAATAATGAAGGAGATGAGCTTACTGACCTTAACATCATCGTTTAATCTTCTTCACTCCTTGACCAATGCTCTCTGCAGGGATGTGGGCTTGGAACTGTTTCGCACCCACATAGCCAGCAATCCCGGTGTGCAAAGTCGTACTGTAGATGGCCTACTCGAATTGATTGAACGCGAGAGGGGTGGTGATGCTGTCGACCGGTCCCTCCTGAAATCTCTTATCAGAATGCTCTCAGACTTGCAGGTGAGTTTCACCCCCATCAGCAGCAATGTAAATACCCCTTGTTTCTGTGACCAATCAAGCCAATATTTCTGTAGTTAAATGAAGGTGCAGCTTTAAATTGACCTCTGCTGCATTGAGTATTTACCTATTTTGTAGTCGTTATGGTTAGGAACAATTTTATGCATTTTGGGTACAATGCAGAAGGTGCACTTGTGTTGACGAACACATCTTTTGTGATAATCTATTTCTAAAAGTTAATATGCAAGCTTCTATAGACACTAAGGGGCCACCCTGTTTGGGAGGCTGTCAGCATCTACAAGTAACAAGTAGGTTAATACTTTTTGGCGCCCATGTATCGAGGAACCCATCTTAGCTAGAGGTTAAGGCATTGTGCTGCCCTAGACATTTTCTTTAACTTGTCCTTGTTTAGTTGTTATGGAGGCGATGCAGAGGGGCTTGCCTCATTGCTCCTATAACTTTTGCATCGTAGATAGCCAACATTGGCTCCACTTCTCTGATGGTTTTGATAAATTCTTAGTGGATATAGAGTGCAGCAACCATATTTGCCGTTTAGGTTTGCAGCATGACTTACAGAGTTTTGAAAGTCATTCGTTAAGGAACTTGTGTGCAGATGTACGGGGAAGTGTTCGAAGGTCGCTTCCTGGAGGCAACAGAACGGCTTTACGGGGAAGAAGGCCAGCAGCTTCTTCAGGAAGCAGAGGTGCCCGCCTACATGCAACACGTTGAGCGTCGCCTGAATGAGGAGCAGGAGCGTCTGCTGTACTACCTCGATCACTCCACTAAGTGGGTACCCTCTCGTGCCCTTTCCAAAGATTGCCTCCCTTAGCCCACCACTTGCTGTCATTATTAAAGTACAATGGAACTTTTCAAATATAGACCTTTTCAAAAATGCCTCCCCCGGGTGTCGCCATAGTCGTCTTTGAGCTGCGCAAATTGGCGTGACCCCTCGAAAATGCACTGACATGGCTGCGCCCTTAGCCTTTGTACCCCCACGGGCAGCCCATCATGGCGGTGTTTTTTTTCCTTCCTGGGAAAAGGTGTATATGTCCCCAAGTTCTGCGACAACCCGCATTTTATGACGAATCGATTTGGTCCCGGAAAAATTCCCATGGAAATAGTAATAAAAACTGTGGTTATACGATGCAGTTTTATGCTGACCCCGCATCTTGCGCCGACTCTCAGATTCCAGCCGAAAGAAAAAATCACCTTTACTCGAATCAAACGTCAACCGAATATTGACAGGTGCAAAATTTGAACTTGCGTTCCCCTAGGTTTACGATTGGAGAACTATACAGTCAGACAGGATGTCTCCTTTGAGTAGAAAATATATTCTCCTGGAAATTCTGCATGTGCCTCGATCACATGCGTACGTATCCGGGGTCGTTGCTTAGTCAAGCTCTTTCCACACTGAGTAGCTTCAGCTGGCCGAAAAGCTGATATTTTCAAGTTCACGGTCTGTGGAAACTTCTCCTGATCAACGTACAGCTGGTCTTCCTCCTTTGTTGCACTCGCAGTCACAGGCTTGCACACACATATTAGCACGACGCAGCTGTTTTCACCATGCAAAATTACTTTCAATTGATGTCACTGTTCATAATAAGAGTGGGACACCACTAGTTGCACCTCACAAGGCAACAAATTACAACACGCACAGCTCAGTTGCGTGCGCACAAAGTCATTCTACCCAAACTTGTGGTCTGTCGCCATCATGTGATAGCAATCGCACTGTGTCTGACTCTTCTGGCAAGAGGCTGTTGGCAATGTGGTTTCGGTTTCATGGGTAGGCGATTTTCGGGCTCTCTTGATTCAATTCAATTTTTACAAGATTCAATTTTTTGCTAAGGTTAAGAATAAATGTTCGTTCACACCTCTAAGTAAGTAATGCTGCCGTTAGCTGCTACTGGCAAGAATAATGTAATGCACCTTCCTTGCAGAGACACAAGGTCGTCGTGCCGTGGGCTTATTCAGGCAAGCTGTACCCGGATTTTATGACAGCTTTGCGTGGTCAACTGAAAGTCATATAATCGGGGTTACACTGTACTCAGCTCATCATTATACGAATCACTAACCAGGTGTGAGCCTAATAGGTGTATAGGTGTAACAGGTGTGAAACTAATATAGGTGTAAGCCTGACATTCCTTTGTAGAAACAATTAACTTTTTTTTTTAAACAACATAATGTTTCTCTGGCCTTCTTTATATAGCATGCTTGTATGCACAGCTTCACCTTTAAATTTTTATAAAGCCATGTCTTTGTTACTATATTCCAATCCACATGGCTTACTTGACATCGTCATTAAGGGCCCAAATTCTGACAAAAAGAAAGTGAAATAGTAGTGATACCTATTGACTGAATATATGTCAGTACTAGTCGGTTGGTATTCAGTTAGCACTGAGCCTGCTTTGACATTTTCAAAAACTATGAATGGGGTGAGACGGAGTTGAGAAAAATGCAAGAAAGTTTTCATGAAGTTACAGAAGACTGGAAGGGATACTAAAGTTGAATATTTAGTTTTTGTGGATTGTTAAAATAGCGCTTAGAAACCTCAAAGTGCTTGTTTTTGGGTCAAGGGAGTGCTTAGCTTAGAGAAAAACCGTGTTTCAGTTGCTTCCAAATCATTGGCACTATTCCAATCTTCTGCTTCCGTGAGCCTTCTGACTTGGCCTTCTGACCATGACCCCATGCAGTCCATGCCCCCATGCAATTGTATGTGATGGCAACAAAACTTCGAACAAAACATGCACATCCAACGCTCACGGAGTGAAAGCAATGCTGTTTGCCGCAGCTTTGGCACACTAAACCACGGAAAGTGGGATCATAGAAAGCAATGATGTGGTTCTCAACGCACGTGGACAGCCTGCATGTGTGGATCGAAAACAGAACTGCAGTTTGCCGCAACCACAATCGCTATCAATGCAATCTACAAAATTGCACCATGTCCCGCTAAAGGGGACCTTGAGGGGATGCGAAGCAACGTGGGGGGTGCACACAGCGTTTGCATTGGTTTGACTAGTCGTTTCTGTGTTTGCGTGCCAACGCTACTATTGCATTTCGACACGTTGAGCCCGCATTTCATCTGTAGCAGTTTCCCGCCGTAGTTGTGGAGAGAGGGAGGTTGGCCACGGCGCAGCCACAGATGTTAGCTGGTATGTGGAGTGGAGGCAGTGCTCATGCCATCCCCTCCAACCCACCTCCTTGCACCACTCTCGTGAGCTGAGGGTCCTCTCACCTTCTCGTGCTCACGCATGTGCAGTAAGGATGGTCACGCCCTTACTGAACTCTGCCATGAGCTGCTTCACAACTAAAAAATAGCGACTATGCAGTCTGAACGTACGCAGCCAGCGCAGTGGCAGATTAAAAGCACAAAAGTCATAAAAACCATCAAGCATTTTGATATCCCTATCACTGTTCGCTTATAACTATGGTGGAGCAGATTTCGGCTCTTACTTTTCAGTTTGCCTCACACAATGCTCTGATGTACATTTTTATTGCAACCAACTGTGACATCTCTTATTGGACTGTTAGCATGTTCTGGAAAGACGTATGTAAGTTATTTTGATGAAAGTAAATGTTCTGCACATGTACTGTTATGGTCTCAACAAAGATGTTGCTCGTTTTTATTTTTTTTGGGCAGGGGGGGTGGGGGTGGGAACCAAATTTAGAGTAACATGAATATTTTTGTCCCCCTTTTAGATTCATATCACCAAGATTCTGCCTTACCTCCAAATACGCTCTATCCCATTTTTATTCTTCTAATTACTTCACTTATCAGATCTACAGTCACTACCTGCTCTAAGTAAGTGTTTTCATTAATCTCATGAAAACGTGAGATCTGACTGAAGGTCTCATCAAAACTTGAGAGGCCAAGCTCATCTTCGAGAAACTGGAACAGCAAGGATAACTTGTCTCCAGGATCTTCTGTATTGAGAAAAGCTTCCCACCTAGAGCAGAACCAGGGCTTCTCCTGGGAGTATTGTTTTTGAAAATAAACGTTTGTTCATCATTGTTACATTCTTTGTGTTGCACTGGAGCACGTGGGAAGAGTAACATGTCTTAACATGAATGCAGGAAAGCTCTCATTGGCTGCGTGGAGAGGCAGCTCTTGGGACAGCACTTGGGTCCCATCTTACAGAAAGGTCTAGACCAGCTGCTTGATGAGAACAGACATCTAGGCCTCATGTACAGCTTGTTTGCCCGTGTCAAAGATGGACTACCTATGCTCTGCACACACTTCAATCACTATGTCAAGGTTTGTGCCACTGGCAGCAAAATTCAAATTTTACCTTTTATAGAATGTTGTCATTAGCATGTCATGTTAACTCATTAATTATGCACAAGTGGCAAGGGGCCATATTTCAGTTCATCACCTGGTTTTTATGTGATTTTGAACCGAGGTTCACTTGCCTTTGTGGTGGGCTAACGACGAATTTTGATGCAGCTCATTCACTGGACTGAGGAGGGTTTCACAGCTCGGAGCAATGCACAGGGCTTCATTGTCAAAGAAAAAGAGTAAAACGTGCATGATTTGATTTACTTACTTGCATTCTTGTTGGCGCGAGCGCCGAAGCGTGACCAACTTTGCGAGGAGGAGTCCTCTACATTTCCCTACTTTTGGCTTAACTAAATGTCACATAACGGCCTCTCCTGAGTATATTCCTTCCTTCATGCTTGCATGAAGTATATTCCATCATATACTTTTGCACAGATCATCGAAATGCCGAACATATACCGAGAACTTCATTGAGATCAGCAGGCATCGATAGATCTCTGTAGTTGCCCTATAAAACAAAATAATAGACGGCTGTCTTTTACATGTGCCTCTAAAGGAAACATTAGAAATAGTGAATGTTCTGACACATGCTGATCGCAGTGCCATTCCTTTGTGTTGCAGAAACGTGGTCGGGTAATAGTAAGCAACCCAGAGCGAGACAGGTCCATGGTACAGGAGCTGCTGGACTTTAAGGATCAGATGGATCAAGTGGTTAACCATTGCTTCCACCGCAACGAGAAGTTTGTCAACTCACTCAAGGAAGCGTTTGAGTACTTCATTAACCAGAGGCCGAACAAGCCAGCCGAGCTCATAGGTTCGACATTCATGTGCTCACTCTCTCTCATTTTGTTCACAGCGAGGTACACTGTAGATACCTGAAGTAGTTGTTGGGAAAAAAAAAATGCTGTGATCATTTAACCTGACAATACTCTATCCTGCTGTTCAGGAGAAAGAACACTGCTACATTCTACAAACTAAGGAGATTAAAATCACTTGACATTTATGTATAAAAAACATCAATAGCCCTTTTTTAATTGCTCAAGGGCAATAGAAGACAAGGCTGTAGTTTTTGCATGTACTTGCTAACATGATTGATGCTGTCGTAAGCACACATACAAAATGTTTAAGAAATTTTTATGAAAAGCGTTATACAAATAATTTCTATGGTATCAGCGTTCAAAACTGAACAGGTTGGTTGATCTTCATGATAAAAGCAGCTCAAGAACACTGTGGTATGCACTTCATGCATTAACCTTTTATTGAGTGTCAATTTTTTCTGGAAAACACTTTCGCAGATGGTCAAATTACTTATTTCGGCTTTTGAATATAAGAAAGGTGTACAGTCAGGAAAAAAAAAAGATAATTTAATAATTCAGGAACAAAATATTTTGGTGTCATTGTCACTCAGAACTGCACAGTGTTTAAAAAGTGGAGATGAGATTCGAAAAATTTGCGTTAATACATTGCGTAAGCAAATAAAATTTTTTCTATTAGATAGGCTTTTATGCTGATTTCAAATATGTAATTGGTTTGATAGTAAACTGCAGTTTTTGTTTTTGGCCATCACAATGTGTAAAGTATATTTCGTTTTGGGTGAACTTTTTGTGCCACTAAACCTTTCTTGTTCTGAATGCTTAATAATTAAGCTCACATTGCACATAACTGTAGAATGCAAATAAGTATCAATAAAGCGCTTATAAGACGATCTAATCGACAAGAAAAATTGTAATGTGAAAATTCCTACAATCCTCAGCCCATACTAATTGCCTATTCTAGGTTCATAATAATTGTACGGACAATATCAAGTTTTAAAGAAAATGCCTGCACTATTCATATGTTAAGGAATACCTGGGCGAAATTTCATCCCGATTAGGCTATCAGGTGTACTAAAAACATGATGTCTTAACTCAAAAAGTTGCCCAAACATGGATCTTGAGAAAAACGCACGTACTTAAAAGATATACATAAGTGAAAGCTCCTCCATGCGGAAACGATATGTTTTTTATAATTTATTTCTTTATCGTTAGAGCTTGGCAATTATGATTATTTTGCGCTTGTGGCTTTAGTGAACTTCTCATGCAAAATGTTTTCCAAAGCCAGGTGACAATTTCCTGGAGACTGTAGACAATGAGCTCTACTTAGTTTTTAGTAGCCAGCTTGGGTTCTTTTAAAGTGATTTTAATGTACTTAGAGTTTAGTTACAATGTTCATTTTCTCTTTTTTTTGTCATGAAAGTAGAGAAACTGCCCATGTGAAAGGAAATAAAAACTAAAGATATGTAATTTTAGAAAAAAAAAAAACTTGTGTTTTTTTACTCTCATCTCCACTTAATAGTATCGCCTCCTAATAGTCTGTGCACAGCACCTTATTGCAGTCTGCGCACGTTGAATGCATGTCTGTTCTCTTGTATTGACAAGTTGTGTTGGTGCGTACGCGCACGGCTACCTTGGGCAGGTTAAACTCTGTAGTTAAGGAAAGAGAGCGAGAATACGCCATAAGTGTTGGTGATAAACAAGCCAAGAGGAGTGTGAATAAAGATGGAAACCAACTCCTCTGCCTCTGCAAGAAAGTGCTGATAAAATATGAAATCGAAGTTCATGCGCCTTTGTTGCTATCACTCGGTGAAGCTAAAACCGCTCAAGAGTGTTGCACATCAGCGTCGCTGTCGACCACATCAAATGCTGATGCGGAAAATCAGTTCAGTTTATATCTGCAAGGAGATAATCATGTCTACAATCATTTCTAACGCTTTTTGTAAGTCCTAGGAGGTGGCAGTACCTCCCGGGGAGCATGCATTGGGATTATAGCACGAAATTTTAAGTGGAGGTTTGAAAACGTACCCGTACGGCGAGGACATTGTGGGATAAAGAACTGCTGCCGTGCATGTGCGGCAAAAACACTCAAAAGGTTTAAATTCTGCATAGTTAAAAGCACTGTGCCATTTGCTGTGGCCTGCCTATTTTGCTCTGAGGGAGAGGAATCTTAGTTTCTTTTTTAAATTCTAAGGAACTGTTTGAAAAGTATGTGAACACTAGGTGCAGTTTAACGATTGCGCCTTAAAGGGGCCTGCAACACTTTTTGAGCATCGTCAGAAAATGCTGCCAATTGGTAGCAGAGGCTCCCAACAACACGCGAGCCAAATATTATAGCGCAGCACGTAGCCTGGAATTCACAATAAATTGTCAAAGTCAGTTAAAAATTGCTTTCTCTTGTCAAATCACGCGATATACTTAAAAATCACACGCGAATTACCCATCTATCAGCCATTGGCTGATCTGAACATGGCGCGCTCACTCGTCACAGTGATCGCCGCGGGAGGCCGCCACTTGTCCACGTGTGCGTGCGTGATCAAAACTGAAAAAGCTGTGCATTCAAAGGAAAAAAAAAAATGAAAGAAAAAGTGCTCAAGGTTACAGGGTGCACGTGATGTTCGTCTGTGGCCCTGCCATCCCTCCCTGCTTAGCTTCCAGCGATTTCGTCTGGACAAAGGAAGAGGGAATACGATTGCAGCGTGTCACAAATCTTTGTAACTCCGCTCGTACTGGATGGATTCCTTAAATTTTTTGCGGCGTTGAATTCGTGAGGCAATAAGCTCTTCCAGTGAATTCATTCTATTACTCTAAAAAGTGTTTCAGGGCCCCTTAAAAATTTGTGCCTACGATAGATGCCATATGCACTGATCGGAAGTCATGTATTGTGCTGACACTTTGCCTTGGGCACGATCTGCACTGCAAGCACCCAGTTTTCCTAAACAAACAGTTGGGCACGAGCTTCTTGTAGTAATTTGAGCATTAATATGTAGTGCCACCAGGAATGAGATAGGAACGTATGTCTTTTTACCGCTGAAACATCAATATCTCTATTTTGCAAAACTCTCTATATAATAAAGTATTTCACAGCTAGTACAGCTCGTATATATTGAAATTTAAATGTGCATGCTTTTGCCAGTCTGTATAGTTCATTGAATTAATTATACTTAATGTGTCCTTCATTAAGCTCTATTAGGTTTCAGACATGTTTATGTCAGTTTTTTTTTAACAAGGAAAGACCATTAGTAGTGTCCTATCATTTACACAGGCATTATTTTGCAGACACGAATACTATACTTTTTAGGGATGGAACAATAGTTATCTGTCCTAATTTGAGCTTTTTTATGTATAGCACAGCATTCACTAGTTTTTTTCCATTCTACTTTTGTTGCAGCCAAATTTGTGGACTCAAAGCTCAGGGCAGGAAACAAAGAGGCAACAGAAGAAGAATTGGAAAGGCTGCTGGACAAAATTATGGTGCTTTTCCGCTTCATCCACGGTGAGTATAAAAGAAAGAAAAAGTAATTGTAATGTTAAAGGGACACTAAATTCAAATGACAATTTATGTCAGAGTGAAAGCTATGGCAACGTCTGAAACGACAATATTATCAACAGCAGTGCCCTAGTTACCGAAAAATTGAGGTAAATACACGAGAACACACGCACTACGATAGGAGGTTTGCAAAATGATACCGATTATGTCAAAGGTAACGTTTACAATTAATCACTAGTAATCAAACTGCACTAAATAAAGAACTTTCCGTGCATCAATAGACGTAATAAAATGCTCCATTGACTATGCACCTTGTTCGCCCACTGCTGGATTGAAGCGTTCACATATCAGTTGAGCTCACTTTCTCTGGTAGGGGAATGGCTGGCCCTAGTGTCGGCTGAGAAACGTGGGCCACTGTTTCCTATTTTAGTATTTGAGGAATTACTTGGAAGCAGTTAGTTTACACTCTGTCGTTGCATTTGTTAAAGTTTGTCGTTGGTAGCTAAGTTTCCAAAGTGCTTTTTCGGAGATGTGGATGATGTGAGCATCCCATTGCTAGTTATCTGAAAAAGTAGAACACTCATTTACAGGAAGTGCCCCGCCACGGTGGTACTTAGCTGATGACCCGCAGGTCGCGGGATCGAATTCCGGCTGCGACGGCTGCATTTCTGATGAAGGCGGGAATGTTGTAGGTTCGTGTACTCAGATGTGGGTGCACGTTAAAGGGCCACTCACCAGGTTTGACAATTTTGAGCTGACATGCGCAATGCGTAGACAAGGCGTTCATGATCACGTCTGCCAAAATTTGCAACGCTCCGCGCCGCAGAAATGGGTCAAATTTCAAGATGAAAGCTGCTTGCCCTCCCCTCTACCTGCGCACGCGTAGAGAATGAGGGCATGACGTAGGCGTAGGAATGGCCCTACGTACACAGCACTGCGGTCACGTTGGTCCTCTACGTAGACGACTCTGCTCTCACGTTGTCAACAGTATACCACGTGACATGGGAGAAATTAACGTAGACGACTCTGCTCTCACGTTGTCAACAGTATACCACGTGACATGGGAAAAATTATGTAACACAACATGCGCAGTTTATGTATTTGTTGCTTTAAGAGATGAGTAAAACTTGAAATAAATAATGAGACGCAATAAAAAATTGTGCATGTTTTTCTTACATTTTTTTTCCCGTGAAATGCTATGAGATGCGGGGCTAATGTGCCAGTGTTTCACATGCGTTCGGGTTCCTTCGGTCAGCGCATTGAGCAGATGATCGCCATGGAACGCTCCTACGCGTTCGCGCACTCATTGTGCTCATGTATTCTACCGCGTCTAAGCCAGCAGTTTCCAAACAATCCCGCAGAAACAGGCAGAAGACCACAAAATAACGCTGGTCTACAAAGCAACACCGCTCGCGTGCACGGGGGCTGGGCTTGTTCGGGCACGTCCTGCGAACGTCACCTCTTGGTCGCACGCCGGAGAGGGTGGGGAAGAGGTTTGGCTTGCGAAGGCTACGCGGAGGAGCTGCAAGGGTTTCGAGCTCGTCTCCTCTCACCCTCGTTTCGCACCGCTTCAAAAAACCTGTTTTCTCTGCTCGTAATGAACCGATTCCAAAAATGTTTGTGGCAATACGTTCCTCATTGAACACCCAACAACTTCCACTGCCTAACTAAAATTCGGTATGGGGCCTGGTGAGTGGCCCTTTAAAGAACCCCAGGTGGTCGAAATTTCCAGAGCCCTCAACTACGGCGTCTCTCATAATAATATGGTGGTTTTGGGACGTTAAACTCCACATATCAATCAATCAATCAATCAATCATTTATAGGAAGTCAGTAATAAGGGACAGGTAGTTAGCAATGTAAGAGAAATGTGGCAGCTTCCTTTTTTATCGAAGGTTGTTTCTTTTAGGGCTTTATGTGTATATGTACATGTGTACACAGGATAGGGCTGATATTGGCACCAAACCTAAAGATATTTCAACTGCTGTTGCAGAGGTGTGCGTTTCACATAATGACCAGGCAATGTTTTGTGGATAACGACAGCTTCACGGGCTGCCAGTGAGTTAAGGAAGACCTCTTGTAATCCTCGCATGCACACTCATTGCAGGCAAGGACGTGTTTGAGGCCTTCTACAAGAAGGACTTGGCCAAACGTTTGTTGGTGGGCAAGAGTGCTTCTGTGGATGCTGAGAAGTCAATGCTGTGCAAGCTCAAGCAGGAATGTGGTGCGGCGTTCACCTCCAAGCTGGAGGGCATGTTCCGTGACATGGAACTGAGCAAGGAACTGAACCTGGCCTTCCGGCAGCAGCAGCGCCGTGAGCGGCTTGAGCTGACAGTGAGCGTCCTCACAATGGGCTACTGGCCGAGTTACCCAGCCCAGGAGGTGTCGTTGCCCGCGGCTATGGTTCGCCACCAGGAGCTCTTCCGCCAGTTCTACCTGGCCAAGCACTCTGGCCGCAAACTCCAGTGGCAACCCAGCCTTGGCCACTGTGTACTCAGGGCCACATTTCCCGGTGGCGGTCTCAAGGAACTGCAAGTCTCACTCTTTCAGGTCAGTGATGCTCACGGCATGAAATTTTTTAGGTAGGGATGCTTCTTAACTAGCTGCATGCATTGTGTGAACGACCAGATAAAGTAGCAACAATGCACGCGCGTCGGTTCAGCGGCGGCAGGCTGGAGCCACATGGCAGATAGGAGAGCACTACGAAGAGCCGTGCCGTGAGTGGCAGTGATTGCGTGTTGCTGACGAGCATCGCAGGGGCCTTCCAGAACTTTCAACCTTTCTCATTAACAATAACAAAACCCATCACAAGGTGGCAGATTCTTGGATGAATAACCCACACCTTTGAGATTTGTAATGAGGTTATTGTCAGTAGTGATACAAGATAATGGCAATTACTAAGAAAAGATGTCTGGCAATTACTATCAACGACACATAATCAAGTGTCACTCGGCACAACTCTTGTGTCTTCCTCTGCTATATGCTCCCACACCGAGTCTGCTTTGTGACAGGAAGCTTATCTTTTTAAGGAGCTGCCACTTATAATATGCATACTGTTGTAATGAGATATTTCAGTTAAACACAATAAATTCTACGTACATTACACTTGAAAAGACACGAGGTGTGTTTTGTTTTACAAAGTATGAAAAAATAATGAACACAATAAAAAACATTTTATTTAAAAACTCATCTATTCTGCAAGGTTGCGTTCGAGTATGAAAAAATTGTAAACGCTTCAAGTATCGAATAACATTACACACTTTGAGCCAACTCTGATGCCATCTGTAATGCACTCTGGAACAGTAGTACATCTGTCTTTGTGAATATAAACATGAGTGTTTACCCTAAACTTCACTAATTTTGCTAAACATTAATAATGATTAATTATTAATGCTAGGTTATTAATAACTAGGTTAAGAAGCCTGCAGACCAGGGCTTTGCTAATGAACTTTTGATATAATTCACTTAATATCAGTTTTCCAGCTGGGTCTTGGCAAAAGTGAGTCAGTTTGGTGCAGGTAGGAGGCATGTGTAGTTGCACATTGCATGGCAAGCAGAAATATAGTGCATTTATGACAACTGCAAGATCTGTCCTGAACTTTTTGTGGGCTACGAAGCTGTGTCCTCCTTGTCGGTTTAATTTCTTGCAATAATGGACATTAGCAAGCTGTTGGTCTCGCATTTACCATACAACCAAGCTAACTTCAGAGAATGTCCGGGACACCTCCCAGGGACCTTGAGTAGCCCTGAGTGGCAGAGTGTAATGCTAACATTGCCTTGCAGGCCTTGGTACTGCTGTGTTTCAACAAAGTGGACGGCCCCATTGGGCTGGCAGAACTCAGTGAACAGACTCGGATTGAGGACGGTGAGCTTCGGCGTACACTGCAGTCACTGGCGTGTGGCAAGGCCCGTGTGCTGCAAAAGGAGCCCCGAGGTCGTGAGGTCCAAGATGGCGACCAGTTTGTGTTCAACACCGAGTTTCGCAACCGCCTCTTCCGCATCAAGATCAACCAGGTGCAGATGCGTGAGACGGCTGAAGAGCAGAGCTCAACGCAGGAGCGAGTCTTCCAGGACAGGCAGTACCAGATTGATGCTGCTGTGGTGCGCATCATGAAAATGCGCAAGAACCTTACACACAACTTGCTCATCACTGAGCTCTACGATCAGCTAAAGTTTCCTGTGAAGGTAGGACAAAACTCCTGCTCTTGTGCTATCGTCCTCCTGCAACACCTTATATAGCAGCATGGTTCTCCCAGAAATTCCTTTCTCTTTTATCAGCATATTCAGTTGCAGTGGTGGGGAACGTGCATCAACCGGAAATTACTGCGCCATACTGCTTCGAAATGGTCTTTTTTGTCTAATTTGTGCCATTGCTGCGCCACGAGGTGGTTTTGGAACCGAAAGTAATGTTGACAGCATGCATCATGAGCAAATATTACGTGATGGCCACAATCTTGTTGACTTGTGCTGCTGCTAAAGCGTGGAATCGGCCAATCAATTATTCTTACTTCCACGCGATGCGGCATTACCGATTCTTAATTATTGGCAAAGAACGAAGGCGATGTGGCGACTATCGAAAAGCGCGTTAGTACGACTTATCGCCGGCAAAAGCAACGTGTGTGGTGCGGCACCGCTTTAGGGCTAGTGCACGCTTTTAATAGCCGGCAACTACATGAGAGCGCTGAGGCTCCAATCACTGCCGCCTCAATCCTTGTGCGGGACCATGTTAAACGTGCGCCCCTTTCCAGAAACGAAAGCAACTGGCTGTTGCTGATTTGAGCGTCGTAGATCACGCTCCTCGAGACAGCGAGCGTAGCGCACGCTATCATGAGACGACAGCCTAAACGCACCTCCTTCCGCTGCCAGGATCCGCTAGAGCATCGCTAGCAGAAAGTGTGCATCGTCGTGTTAAGCAGCAGGCTTCTTGCCGCATCTGTGCACGGT